AAACCTTTATATATTACATCAGCATTATTGGTAGTATAAAATCATCTAAAACAACATAAAATTTATCACAAATTATTTATAATAAATAATTGATAATTAATAGACATATAGGATTTTTTTAGAACATCATACCCAAATAAGAGGGATTTTTTTCCACTTAGTTTATATATTCAGGCATAAATATTACTGATTACTAGAATAAGACAGGGTTTATCATATTTTTTATTTTACAGATAAAAGCCATGAGAAACTTTATTCATGTAGATGAATTGGTGAGACTGAAAGAAGCTTTCTTTGCCTGTATTGTTTTGTTTTAAATAGCAATGCTTCACACACCTCTGAACTTCTTCCAGATTTATATCCCCCAAAGTAAGATAGCAGCTCTTAGCTGACATATCAACTAGTGTTCCCTCAATTTTCTTGATGGTAGAATTGGAAACCACCTGTCTTGCAAAAAGATTGATTACCCAATCCTCAGAGTCATTCATTTTCTCAACATCCACACTAGTATTTGACTTGTCTTTTTTGCGGGGGAGTGTTCTAGAGATTTTTAGATTCCAGGGCAATGCACCATAGTGAGATTCAGTAGGTACAAGGTGTGCCTTTCTTCTGTAGGGTGTCAGATGGGAAACTGTGGAGGGGAAGATAGGGAAGGGGGGGCAGCTGTCATGTTCTCAGGCTGACTTTAGGAAGGGGTACGTATGGAAGTCGAAGCACAGGAAGTGGATTGCCTCCATGCCTGCACAGCCTTGGAAAGGCTTTGTAAACCAGGGCACACATCACCCACCTGCAGACCGCTTAACCTTGATACAACAAAAAGCCCCATACATTTCCAAAATTCCTCTAGGAGGCAATACTGTTCCCTGGAGAATCGCCGCACTAACTGATCTGCTGTTTTCATTCCCCGTTTCATCTTTCCCACTCTCACATGCTTCAGTCACAATTAGGACCCTCCTAGTTCTTCCCAGGAGCAAGCATGGTCCTGCCTCAGGGCCTTAAAAACCGGCTCTTCCCTATACGCAGAGATGCTCCCCCCAGATATGGGCAAGATTCAGGCTTTCACTTCATTCAGTCTCTGCTTGAATGTCCTCTTATCAGAGAGCCCTCCCTAGATCAGCCTTATACAAAACAGCATACCCCACTACACTATTCATTCAGCAAGTGTTTATAGAGATTTTGCTATGTTCCAGGCACTGTTCTGGATACTAGAGAGACATCAGTGAACCAAACAAATATTTCTGTCCTCATATTGCTTAAAATCTAGTGAGAGGAAAATAAAAACACGAAATATAAAACATACAACTACATACTATGTTAGAGAGTGCTGGGGGGGAGGGGGCGGAGTTCCAGTTAAGGGGGATTGAAATTGCCGGAAGTAGCCCATGTGTGGAAGGTGGGGAAGGGATTGAAAAGACGATTGTTTTAGCTTGAGCTGCCATAACAAAATACCACAGAATGGTGGCTTAAATAACAGAAATGTACTTTCTCACAGTACTGGAGGCTGCAACCTTGAGACCAAGGTGTCAGTACAGTTGAGTTCTGGTGAAGGCCCTCTTCCTGGCTTGTAGAGGTCTCCTTCTTATGTGTCCTCACAGGGCAGAGAGAGAAAGCTGTGAGCTCTCTGATATCTCTTCTTCTAAGGCCATTAATCTCATCATGAGGGCCCCACCCTCATTACTTCATTCAGATCTAATTATCTCCCCCAAACCCCACCTCCAAACACTGTATCACCTTGGGGATTTGGGCTTCAACATATGAATATGGGGGGACGCAGTTTGCTTCATAGCAGTGATAATTGAACAGACACTTGAAGTGGAGGGCGAGCCATCTGAATATTAGGACGAGTGTTCCAAGCAAAGGAAGCAGTGGACGCCAAGGCCCAAAGTTGGAACTGGGCCTAGGGTATGAGCAGGGAGGAGGCCCACACGGCTGGAGCAGAGCGAGCTAGGGGAAGAGCAGCTAAGAGATCAGAGAGATGAAGAGAGAGGGGCCGGTGGGATAGGGCCTGGTGAGCCATTATAAGGACATTGGCTTTTATTCTGAGAGAAATGGGGAGCCACTGGAAGGTCCTGAGAAGAGTCTACTACTAGAGGAGGGATGCTCCTACACAGGTGGAAGGGAAGAGCAACCAAGAAACAGGTGAGGGCTGGCTTTCGGTAAGAGCACCGACAGGCCAGTAACAAGAGAGAAGGCAGGGCCGGGCGAGGTGGCTCATGCCTGTAATCCTAGCTCTCTGGGAGGCCAAGGCAGGCGGATCGCTTGAGGTCAGGAGTTCCAAACCAGCCTGAGCAAGAGCGAGACCTCATCTCTACTATAAATAGAAAGAAATTAATTGGCCAACTAATATATATAGAAAAAATTAGCTGGGCATGGTGGCACATGCCTATAGTCCCAGCTACTCGGGAGGCTGAGGCAGTAGGATTGCTTGAGCCCAAGAGTTTGAGGTTGCTGTGAGCTAGGCTGACGCCACGGCACTCACTCTAGCCTGGGCAACAAAACGAGACTCTATCTCAAAAAATAAATAAATAAAATGAGAGAAGGCAGGATGCAGGCACTCAGATTGCCCTGACCACATGCTGTCATTCTCCACATCGCTGGTCACCACCTGTCAAATCATACATTCATGTGTTTATCATCTACTGTCTCTTCTTCCCACTGGACTGTGAGCTCCAGAAAGTCAGTGACATTGGCATTTCGCTGCTGTTGCCCAAATATCTAGAACAGTGCCTGGCGTACCAAAGTGCTAAATACATTCTTAAAAAATTTGCCTGAATGGCTGGCCAATGGAGGAAGACAGAAAATAAGGTTTGGCGTTCTAGTTACCTCCTATTCTCCACATTTTCAATACCAATATCGGAATAAGGAGATTTAATGATCTCATGTCGTCACGATACCCGCTGATGCTGAACCAGGTTTATCTTGTTTTCAGATTCAGGCATGGTGGCACGGGACAATGGTGCGGAAAGGATTTGGGGAATTTGAAGAGCTACTAAAAGCACGAAAGAAAGCAAAGAGCCCCGCAAAAGATAAGAAAGGAGATAAGGCTCCAAAAGGAAAACCTGGAAAGGGAAATAAGAAATAATTCTATAAATTGGTGAACTGAGGTAATGAACTCTAACGGATTAGGAAGGCAAAATATCTAGGAATTAGAGTCTTACTACATTAAAAATATTCATAGAATTATGTTTATGTGTAAAGATAAAAGACACTTTTACTGAAATATTTGTGGATAAAGTCATATGACACCTGGGAATTCCTTCAAAATCATGAGGGGCTTGGGGAGTAGGTAGGGATACAAGGGAAACAGACTGGCTATAAATTGATAACCGTAGAAGAAGATGAGTACATGGATATTCATTAAACTATTCTGTCTACTTTAGAAACTTTGATTTTGGAATAATTATAGATTTATAGGAAGTTCCAAAGAAATGCACAGGTAGATCCATGTACCCCTCACCCTCCCTCAGTGCTGACCTCTTACATAACTATAGCACAATAACAAAAGCAGAAAACTGACATTGGTACAATCAACAGAGTTTATTGAGATCTCAATTATATATGCACTCACTTGTGTGTAATTCGATGTAATTTTGTCACACGTAGCTTTGTGCAACCACTGCCACAATCAAGACACAGAATTGCTCCATCACCACAGTCTCCCTTGTGCTACTCCTTTGTAGATACAACTACCACCTACTCGTCTCCTGATTCCTATCCTGCCCCCATCTTTGTAATTTTGTCATTTCAGGAATGTCATATAAATGAAATCACTCAGTCTGTAACTGGGATTGGCTTCTTTACTCAGCATAATTCACTTGAAGTCTTTCCAAGTTGTTGCATGTGTCAGTGTTTTGTTCCTTTTTTCTTGCTGAACAGTATTTGCACAGTTTAACCATTCACCCATTGAAGGATATCAAGTTGTTTCCGGTTTGGGGCTATTATAAATAAAATTGCTATGAACATTCATGCATACGTTTTTGCAGAAGCATAGGTGTTCATGGAATCCGTGGGAATGCCCAGAGAAAAGAATACCACATTACCTAAAACATTCCCTTTTACAGCACTCAAAAATTCCTCATCCTGATGACTTTTTCTTTTGGAGTAGTATTGATTTTAAATTTCCGTATCTTTCAAACAATGATTGTAATACTAAGTATTAGTGTGGCAAGAGTAAAGCAAAACCTAATTTGATTAGAGAGTATCAGAATAGAAATGTGTAGGCAAACATCTCTGCCATGCAATGACTTTCATGCTCTAGTAAAAGAAAACCAAAAATTTCAAAAATCGCTTAGAGCAACACAAGAACTTTCATTAGTGAACCAAATCAGTTTTATGTAGCAAATTCCATGTCAAAGAAATGCCTAGAGATACCATATTAACAATTTTTTGTTTTCACAATAAAAGGTTTTAATTTATTCTAACAAGATGTGTTTTTTTTTTTTTTTTGAGACAGAGTCTCACTCTGTTGCCCAGGCTAGAGTGAGTGCCGTGGTGTCAGCCTGGCTCACAGCAACCTCAATCTCCGGGACTCAGCGATCCTCCTGCCTCAGCCTCCCGAGTAGCTGGGACTACAGGCATGCGCCACCATGCCGGCTAATTTTTGTATATATATATTTTAGTTGGTCAATTAATTATTTCTATTTTTGGTAGAGACGGGGTCTCGCTCAGGCTGGTTTCGAACTCCTGACCTTGAGCAATCCGCCCGTCTCGGCCTCCCAAAGTGCTAGGATTATAGGCGTGAGCCACCGCGCCCGGCCAAGATGTGTTTTTGATAGTGGGTTTTAAATTTTTTACCACTTTTTACTAAGATTTGTATGTCAGTGACTATTATTGGCGTTTATTATTTATATCTGAGATAAAAAGGCACCATAACATATAATAATAAACCATAGATGGGTACACTTTCTAAGTAGACCAACTTATGATACATACAATAGTAAACATGCCATGAAACTATTAAACAGCCAGTGCCTTTCACATTAGCATCACACACACACACACACACACACACACACACACACATCCTTATATTCAGAACATTTAACACATAGGAAAAGAAAAGGCAGAAATCACGGCAAGAAAAAAGCAGTTGCAGTAGCAGAATCTAAATATTTTTGTAAGGCCTTCTAAACAGTGAGCAAACTATATATTCAAAACAAATTAAATATATTGAAAAATGCCATTTTTGTTTCATAAAATAGAGAATAATGACATGCTCATATTAGATTATTATATAAGTGGCCCCAAAGTTGATACTCAGTTAATGACACTGGAATCCATTCATGCTCTTTTCCTTCGGAGAATGGTTTGCAGCTTAGTAAGACTTGGGAAATCACTTTACTGAAACCCACCATGGTCAAAGTGAATGCTTCTTTTGTGATCTCGGTCAAAGCATTCTAGTGCTTCCTCCTCTGAAGCTGGGAGAATCCATCTTTTCATTCCTATCTCAGTGATCTCAGGAAGTTTGGTCACGGCACATAACAAGTGTCTAAACCATCGTCCACAATCCCGAAAATTGGATGGTCGAAGGCTAATATCCAGCTCGGCTAACTCTTTGAGGAACCACACGTTTTGGCAGAAGATGGCCCATCCTTCATCGCAGATGCTGTCATTATAGCTCAGGTCCAGCTTGTGCAGTTTGGCCAGATGACCCGTCACTATGACTGATGCTGGAAAACAAAATCACCCTAATGCTAAAGTATAAGAACACTTTCTACTATGGCCATTTCCCATTTCCAATCACACAGTGTCTCCAGGATTCGTAATGACAAGATTAGTAATTAGTAATGATTTGTTATTAGCTAGCAGTTTTATTTAGGGCATCTGAAATTAGTAATAAATTTCCTCTCTATACAGCCAAAGTACAGCTTGAAAAGTGGATTTTTTCCAAATCCTAGTCCAAAGAATTTCTTTTTTGTCAAGAAAAAGAAATTCTGCTCCACTGCTCCCCTGGAGTCCTAGCTCTTCCTATAGACTTGCTTTAATTAAATTATAAGGAGTGATAGCTCATTGACTTTAAAACTGAGGACCATTTGTAAATAGTCTTCTTGCTGTTTAATGCTGTTTAATTGTTCATGGCTCATTCAATTGGTCATTCTTCATTCAACAATTATTTAATTGAGCACTTTCCATGTTCAAAACATACCTGGATAATTTCTAATGCACCTTAGAGACTCCTAATGAACAGGACAATTTTCCCTTTGAATAGCACATATCACAATATTACCTACAATGGCACTTAAAAATAATAGTTAATGATGAAGTGAAGAGACAATAACGACCTCTGTAATGGAGGGTAGGGGAGATACCCAAGAGAAAGGGCATATGCTTCCCTTCTCAGCCAAACCCATGAATGGAGTGCAGGGATCAGATGAACAGGATAGAATATCAGACTTGCAAGGGACCTTGGAAGTCTCCTCACCCAATCTCCAGATCAATGATCAGAGAGGAATCCCTTTCACAGCCTCTCTCCTGGTGACCACCACGACTCTACAGGAGCTGTCCTTTCAAGGTTGTCCTCAACATTGTGAACAGCTCTCAGCAGGATAAAGCCCTTCCATGGGGCCCCAATCTGTCATCCCGTGTCTTTCACCCAGTGCCCGCTCAGCCAGCTGAAAAACGCAGCTCCTTCTTCCTCGTGCCAGCCCTATAGCGTTGGATGACAGTCAGGTCTCCCTCAAAATTCCCCCCTCTCAGACTAAATGTACCCTGATCTTTAAATCCTTCCTTACACAGCACGGCATCCAAGCGGGCTGCTCCAACCCCATCAATTTCACCTGCAGGCAGTTTGACTCCACATTGCGTGTGAGAGCTTAGCCATCTGCACACACAGCAGCTGCACTCTGTCTCTAGGTGGCCATGTCAGTGTGTCTCTCTTCCTTTCTGTCTTGCAACATTACTCACTATAGTCTCAAGACCTAACTAAGTGTTAAAGACAATGTGCATGCTGCTTCCCTTTAAAAATCTTGTATTATGGAAATTTTCAAACATAAAAAATACAGAGAATAGGAGAGAGTGGCCCCCTGTGCGTTTGGCCCCCTGTGCGTCCATCATTCAGCTTCAACAGTCCCCTTTCCTCTGGTTTTTTTGTTTGTTTGTTTTAGTATTCTAAAGCAAATCTCAGCCATCATTTTACCTTTCTGTACTGTTTGAATTTTCCAATCACGTGAATACTCTGTTTATTGTATTTTACTATTTTAGGTTCATTATATTATTAAAAATCTTGGTAGCAAAAATGTGGGCCACAGAAATATTATTTTTGTAGTTTACTATGTAAAAAAATGAATGCTGTTATTTATAAAAGAAATGAATATAAGATACTAGAGATTAACAAATTCTTAAAGAATTTTTCAGTTAGAAATAAAGTAATATAAAAGTGGCAATGGCTGAATTTATCTATAGGTTCAACGCAATCCCAGTCACATTTCCAGATGGATATTTTAAATAGATATTGACAATCTGATGTAAAATTTATATGAAAATGCCAAGGAACTAGAATAACCAAAGCAACTTTGAAAGAGAAAGAAGAAATACTACCTGACTTCAAGACTTATGTAAAGCCTTGCTAATTAAGATAGTGTGATATTGGTAAAATAACAGACACATAGATCAATGGAACTAAATAGTAAGACAAGAAACAGAGCATCACAAATATAATCAATTGATTTTTTTTTTGTATCCACCTGTCTGCACACTGATGGCCAATTGATTTTTCACAAAAATATGAAGGCAACTCAATGGGGAAAGGAAAGTTTTTTCAACTAATGGTGCTGGAATAATTGGACAGTCATATGCAAAAACATTAACCTCTACCCATACCTCATACCCTGTACAAAAATTAACTCAAAATAAATAATAGGTCAAAATATAAAATGTAAATATAAAAATTTTAGGAGAAAATATAGAAAAATCTTTGAGAACTTGGGTTTTGCAAAAAGTTCTAAGATGTAAAACAAAAACCTCTAATCATCAAATTAACAAATTGACAAATAGATCTTCATCAAAACTGAAAGTTTTGTTCTGTAAAAAACACTATTAAGAGAATGGAAAGGCCAGTGGGACACACTCAGAGAAAATATTTGCAAATTACATTTTTGCTAAAGGACTTGTGTAGGAAATCTAAAGGACTCTCAAAAGTCATCAATAAGAACACAAACAATCCAATTTTTAAAATTAGGCAAAAGATTTAGAATAGACACCTCACTAAAGAAGATATAAAATTGACCAGTATGCACATAAAAAGATGTTTGATATCATTAGTCATTAAGGAAATGCAAATTAAAATCACAGTGTTTTGTTCCCATCTTCCAATTTTGCTATAACATTTGTTTTGAAAACACAAATTTATTCCAATGAGATTGAAATGTCAGGGAACAATTTGAGCATAATGCAAATTTCTTGTTTGTTTATGCGCAACTTATCTCCAGGAAACATAAAACTGACCCCAGTTTAGGGATAAAGGAAATGCATCCTTCTCATGAGGATAACAATGCTCACCCATCCACATCTGGTGTTAGAACTTTCTATTTGACTTCAGGTCAAATAGAAAGTTTGATCTTTCCACCAATGGGAGTGAGGACGACCCAATTCTAGACAAACTTCAGGTCTTTCTCAGGGTGAAGTGTAGTATTTATGTATTTCTTAAATATTTAACATGGATAAAAGTGTACTAACATTTTTCTTAGCTTCTACTTTTTCAAATGTGCCAATGATGAAATTTTTGAGAGCTGTACTTCTAAATAAGGCCTATGGTTATTACTCTATGAGTTTTGCATACTGTGATTTTTAGGCACATGTGTCTTGTCATAGCAAAATGGACAGTGTACACAATGATAACACATACAGCCACCCGGAATGACTGCTCTGGACCCTTCATTTGGAAAGGTGCTCATTGCTTCAGAGATCTGGTAGCTGATAGCTAAATAGTGAATCGCTCTGTGGACGAGACTAGATGGAAGACAGAGATGGTACTCTCTGATTCATCATTTCATAATGGGAAGTGGACATGTGGAATGATTGTAGGGGATATTTGGGGACAGTATTTCGGTAAGTATGGAATCCCACAATGCAAAAGCTATTCCTTCTTCAATTCTCTTTCCATCTTTCTTTCTAGACTGACACGAGGAAAGTGTCAGACTGGTGCTGCAGTATGCTTTTTTTTATTTTATTTTTTTATTTTATATATATATTTATTATGTGCTAGGTACAAAATTAAACTGTGTGATAACATAGTTTCTGCTCTTAAGTTTGCAGACGTGTCAATCAACGACTGACTGCAGAACAGACTGGTAAGTGTCGTGAAAAAAAATCTGCCCAGAGTGGTAAGAAATTCACTTCTTGAAAAGAAAAATAAAAAAATAGGCCAAGCGAGGGGCTCACGCTTGTAATCCTGGCACTCTGGGAGGCCGAGGCAGGAGGATCGCTCAAAGTCAGGGGTTCCAGACCAGTCCGAGCAAGAGCGAGACCCCGTCTCTACTAAAAATAGAAATAAATTAATTGAACAACTAAAAATATATAGAAAAAATTATCCCGCTCCCCCCCCAAAAAAAAAAGAAACAGAGAGGCCCTTTCCTTATATAAACACAACGTTGCTGGAAGCCCCTTCACACAGACCCAGGCGTTCATTAATTACTTTTTTTTGCCTCCTCCCCATCTGGAGAGGGCGGGGCGTGCCATCACGCAAGATCCAGACGCCCCGTGTGCCAGGTTAAGAGAGACCACAGATAAAAGACTTGCCGCAACATTCCGACAACGACGCTTCCGCAGCAAACAAAAAAACGCACTCTCGACCATCCCCCTACCCAGTTCCGGCGTGTCAGGGAGGCTTGGCTGGCGCCCCCAGCTGCAGACGACACCACCGCAGCAGTGCCCTCACGCAAGATGGGGACCCTCTCTGTGTGTCAGTTAACAACAAGCCGCAGGCCTGGCCTCCCAGCACTCTGAGAGGCAGAGGCGGGAGGATCGCTCTAGGTCAGGGGTTCGAAACCAGCCAGAGCAAGAGCGAGACCCCATCTCTACTAAAAAAAAAATAGAAATTAGCTGGACAACTAAAAATACATAGAAAAAATTAGCCGGGAGTGGTGGCGTGTGCCTGTAGTCCCAGCACTCTGGGAGGCTGAGGCAGGAGGATCGCTTGAGGCCCAGGGGAGTGAGGCTGCTGTTCATGGGCGAGGCTGACGCCAGGGCACTCACTCTAGCTCGGGCCACAGAGCGAGACTCTGTCTCAAAAAAAACCCCATTATTTCAGTTAACGTAAAAAAAAATAAATAAATAAAGAGGAAAAAATAAAAACAAAGAAAAACAAGCCGCAAATAAAAGACGCTCCTCTGCAATTTTCCGACGCTTCTGCAGCCAATAACAAAAAAACAGCCCTCTCGACCCCGCGTCCCCGCCCACTTCAGACCTGGCACTTCTGCAGTGTGCTTTTAACCTCTCTCATCTTTTTCTAACAGAGAAGAAACCTGTACTCAAAACCTTCAGCAATCTAATATCTATGAGAAGTGATACCCATAATTCAGCTATGGTGATAATCAGTTTCCTGTCTAAATAAAAGCATTTAAGTTGAAGAGTCAATTTAAAGGAAAAAATTACCTAACAGTTCAGGAACCATGTGGATAGCGTGAAATTTGTGAAGGTAAAATGTAGATGACTGAAGTTTGAACACCCTCATGGATGGAGGAGGTGTAGAGCCCAAGCTGTCTGCCTGGCAGGAACCTCCCCCATCCCCCATCCCCCATCCCCATCCCCACCCCGGTCTGTATCCACCTCCTTTTAGGAAACACCCCCCACTGTCGTTTGGTTTTAGAATTGCCCTCACTTGTTTCAGACGCATCCGTCCTAAGCAGACGTTACGGAGCAGGGAAGCCGCACAGAGGGCTAAGCCCCAGGCCTTGCCGGCCTCCTCACCCGCCCTGGGCCCTGCAGGGCAGGCACCCTGAGCTCGCATGCCAAGGCCGCTTGGGAACTAGAAGGTACAAACCCAGGAGAGCCACGTCCTCTGTCAGCAGGGAGCAGCTGCTCAGCCTCAGCTCCTGAAGAGCCGCGGAAAGCTTCAGCGACTGCAGCAGCAGCTTCAGGTTGCCGCCAACACACTTATTCCAAGAAAGGTTGAGTATTTCCAGAGCAGGGAGGTGAATGGAGGCTTCAGCTAAAAGTGAGCATGATAAGAACAACAACAATTTAGGTTTCCTTGGTGATCATAGCCTTGAATGTGAGGACACTAGGCTAGGACAACATTACTGTAACTGGGCTGAGAAAGTTGTGGAGGCTGTTTTCTGTCTTCATAGCCTCAGTTTATGTTGTCTATTGTTATTTGGGGGAATATTGGAAGCTTTAGAAAAGTAAACCTTGATTACATGGAATTCACTGTCCACCGGGGTTTCTTTCCTTCACATTTAGGGAGGAGAACGAGGCACAGGCCTTGAACAGCTGGTCAGATGTCCGGCGTGTGTCGGGCTGGCTCGGGTTCCACCGCCCAGCCACCGCCGAAATGCGGAGACTGGGACACCGCGACGTGTTTGCGTTTACTTCACTGCAATTACCGAGGCAAGGGAGGGAGCTGATGCACTTTGGAAAGATTTTCTGCTTCATTCTCAGTTGCCCCCAAAGTTAAAATTAACCAAAATAACACATTCCCAAGCACAGTAGTTAATTATGCTTTAAACTGCTCTGCCTTCTTTCTAAAGAATAATATGTCTCCAAGGGGAAAATTCTAGTAAGAAAATTTCTCCCACTCCTGCTATAGAGACCTACAATAAGGACAAAAAGAACTTTTTCTTCTAAAAGTGATGTAGAAAAACATATATTTACGTGATTTACTCATATTGAATGGTAAACTTGTGCCAGGTGATGTAATTTAGTGTAATATTAAATATCGACTTATCATTCATCGATTGTGCAGCTAGAATTAGAAAGAGCTGCATCTTCTAATGGCCATAATTCCTTTATATTTTTTTCTAAAAAAATTTAAACTTTTCCCAACTAGGGAGTATATTTATGAGATATCATGTTGTTCTCAAATTTTTTTGTATGAAACTTTCCTAAGCAAACATTAGTCTGAGCAGTGGAATGTATCTTGGGTGAGTGTGTGTTTGTGTGTTTACCTAACCATTTGGGGGATTACAGACTCCTTTAAGAAGTTTGTTTTGTTTACCTACTTACTTAACTGATATATAGATAATACCTAAATGCGCTTTGGGTATGCAATGAAAAATAAACACAGTCCGTGCCCTCAAGAAGGTTACAATCTGGGGGAAATACAGACATTAAATAACCACACAAATAAATACATAATTATAAATTCTGATAAAAGCTAAAGAAAAAGCACGAGGGCTCCTAATTTAGATAGGGAGGGGCTGTCTTAAAAAGGGACATTTATACTGAGCCCTGAAGCACAAGGCCCAAGCCCTCAGGAAAGAATGGGAGGTAGGCCATTCTGGAGAACAGGAAGGCCCCAAGGCAGGAGAGAGGTCAGTGACATGAAGGAGCAGAAAGAAGCCAACTGAGGCTGGGGTCAGGGAACAGAGGGGAGAGCAGCTGAGAGACACAGGGGCCAGATCACTCCGACTTGTTAGACCACAAGAAAAAATCTGGATTTTGCCTAAGGTGCTACAGGAAAGCCATAGACTATTTTTAAACTCGGCAGTGATAAGGTCAATATTACTTTTTAAATGAAATTTATAAACTCACTCCTCATAATCATAACTAACATTTATTGAGCATTTACTATGTGCTAGGCTCCTTTCCAAAAACTTTATATACATCAGTTGATTTAATTATTACAAACTAATGAGGTATGTACTATTTCATTTTATATTTTACAGATGAGGAAACTGAAGCCTAGATATGTTAAGTGCCTGAGGTCATTCAAGGTCACAAGAGCCAGTGCCAGGATCTGATTTTAGGCAATCTAATTCCAGATGTTTTAGAGCCAGAAAATCTACCACTCTCTCCCGCACAGAATAATTACAAACAATTGTAGGGAGTTCATAGGCACCGCTTCAAGCATACCTATATACTCTCTGGTCGGTCCATGGACCCCAGATACCAGATCTGAAAGGTACATGTCCTGGGACTTTTCCTCATTCAGGCGTGTGGACAATGAGACCAGCGATGCCAGGGGGAGGCTGGGCACAGTGCGTGGCCAGGGAGGACTAAGTCTACGTGGACTGAACAAAATACTCAGGCTGAAAGGAGGGCAGGAATACCCTAAATATAGAATTCTTAGAATTTGGGGTAAATATTATAATATACATTTATTTTTATTAATAGATTATAATAAAGAGCTAATTACTTTTATTTATTTTGAGACAGAGTCTCACTTTGTTGCCCAGGCTAGAGTGAGTGCCATGGCATCAGCCTAGCTCACAGCAACCTCAATCTCCTGGGCTCAGGTGATCCTCCTGCCTCAGCCTCCCGAGTAGCTGGACTACAGGCATGCGCCACCATGCCCGGCTAATTTTTTCTATATATATTAGTTGGCCAATTAATTTCTTTCTATTTATAGTAGAGATGGGGTCTCGCTCTTGCTCAGGCTGGTTTCGAACTCCTGACCTTGAGCAATCCGCCTGCCTCGGCCTCCCAGAGAGCTAGGATTACAGGCGTGAGCCACCGCGCCCGGCCCTAATTACTTTTATTAATAGAATGAACTTCTTTTATTACTAGTAGCCTGTATCTGGTCCATAGCACAATTTATTTTTTAAATTATGCATTTCATTTTATTTTATTTTATTCTACTTTTTGAGACAGGGTCTTGCTCTGTTGCCCAGGTTAGAGTGCAGTGGTGTCATCAAAGCTCACCGCAAACTCAAACTCCTGGGCTCAAGCCATCCTCCTGCCTTAGCCTCCCAAAGTGCTGGGATTATAGGGATGAGCCACAGCACCTGGGTAACACAATTCATTTTTAAGGAAGTGTCAACTAATATAACACTTGGAAGAGAGTTAGAAAGAAAGACTATTTTCATCATTAACCCAGAAGCACCCAAATCCAACAACTCTAATCATGTATATGTGTATAGAAAAGAGTTAACAAAGGAGGCCTGAGACTGCTATCCCTGGAAAAGTCTGTTATCAACCAGAAAGGCTGGCCCTTGGCTGATGTCTGGGAACTTGGAATTTGGGAGGGTTCCCACCATTCCCCAACTGGTAAGAGTGGTTTACTGTGCCCGACCTGTTTATATGAACAGTATGATTTATGCTGAACACCACCTTTCCTTCTATGAGTCTGGAATTTTGGTTCATGCCTGGAAGAGGGTGCTTATCTAACTGAACCCCAATAAAAACCCTGGACTCAAAGGCCCAGGTGAGCTTCCCTGGTAGACAACATTCCACACGTGTTGTCACAACTCATTACTGGAGGAATTAAGTGTGTCCTGTGTGATTCCCCTGGGAAAGGACTCTTGAAAGGCTGTGCTTGGTTTCCTCTGGACTTTGCCTCTTGTACTTTTCTCTTTGCCAATTTGGCTTCATATCCTTTCACTGAAATAAATCTTAGCCATGACTACAACATGTGCTGAGACCCGAGTCCTCCTGGAGATTCACTGAACCTGGAGGTGGTGTCGGGGAGCCCCAGCACTGTGTGCAAACACTACTGGTTATCTAGGTGGCTTATTTGGAAAAATGCTGCAATGTCCCTTTGCCTCAAAGTATATCCTACTTGCTGACAACGCACCTGCTGTGAAATGGGTGCAAATCTCAGATTCAGTAGACCCTTGATCTAGGCTGGGGCATATCCATGACCTTCAGAAATACCCAGATTCCTGAGAAAGCATAACACATCTTGTGGGAATGTGACTGCAAGGCAGTCAGCTCGGCTCACGCACTGGTAAATCCCTCACTTTCCCATCAGACTCACAGTAACCCCACTCATACTGGCAGCTCAGCGAAATTATAAGTTCCTATCAACATAGACCTCCAGAGTTGGTTATATACACTTTAAAGTTTAAATGTTAAATCTGCAAATGCCAGAATCATTGGTAAGGTTTTCAGAAGGTCACTTTTAAGAGGGCATATTTCCTGAAAAGAAGTCAAATTAGAACTTCAAACCTTTGCCTATGGCTTAGTCTTGGAATGAAATCTGTAAAGAGAGGCCTTCCTCTCAACAGGTGTGGGGAAACTGTGGCCTTCTGATTTCAAGATTGTTTTTTATTTAAGCACCAAAGGAAGCAAGAAAAGTTTCATCTTTCTCTGCTGCACCCCTTTTAATGAAAGGAGTTGTTATGTAAAATATGAATTCAATCCAAAGGCACACTTAAGGACCAGGAAGGCCACAAGTTTCCTTAAGGCTGCAGGTTCCCCAGCCCTGGCAGGGACCTGGGAGATTCTCTTACCCAGAGCTGTAAAAGTCTCACTCTCCAAAGCACAGTTGTTGATTAGTAGCGACTTCAGTGCTGGTAAAAACCGGAGCCTGCTGAGTAGGTTTTCAGAAGAGCTGCCCATCTTTTTGTTGGCTGATAAATCCAATTCTTGAAGATTTGAGAGTAAAGGGATAACCTGGGCTGTTAATACATCAACAGTGTCATGTTTCAGGTGCCATCTCACAAAGACTCTTGGATATTTGCTTCCTATAATCTTCTTAATCTGGCAATCACAGCTCTCCCTGGTCTCACCCTATCCTCCCTACCCACACCCCAAACCAGCCATCTTCCCAGGATGCTGTTCAGGCTTTTCTACTTCCAAGCCTCTCTCCAGGCTAGAAGTTAAGAGCAGAGACTTTGGAGACAGAGAGAACTGGGTTCTAATCCTGGATCTGCTACTAAAGAACTGTGTGACTTTGGACAAGTTAATTAACCTTTCTGAACCTCAGCTTTCTTGACTGTAAAATACCTACTTCATGGGGTCACTGGGAAGATAAAATGACTTGGTATAAATAAAGTGCTTGGTACAGTAACTGCTCAATTAATGTTGGATATTATTATTCTTTTCTTAGAATGTAAGCACCAGTAGGGCAATGGAAACAAGAACAGATGCCTGTTGGTAATAGCAATAGCCCCCTGGAGTGGGGTCTCCAAGGGGCCCAGGAATCCTAGGAGTTACCCCTAGTTCACTTATCTTTCTGCTACTTTTCCTGCTTTTGCCCCAGCTCTTACCAAGGCAGAAAATGCAGTATCCTGGGATCTTTGGGGGCAGGCTCACCTCCTCAGAGCCTGCCAGGGCCACATATCACCCGATTTTATCATTTTTATCACAGCACCAACCATTATGTGATATTTTCTTGTTTATGTATTTGTTTTCTGTCTCCCCTCTCTAAAGGCAAGGTGTATGTGTGTAGGGACTATCCCCTCCCCAGAGTGGGGCCAGTACCTGGCACACCAACCAGAGTCACAGAGGTTTGTAGAAAGAGGAGAGGAAGTCCGGGGAAGACAGGGAAGGAAAGGCAGGTGGGCACTTTGACCCCAACAGGTGTAACTATTTCCCCTGCTTCCAATCCTTCACAGTACTTTGTACTCCACCATGTCATTTGGGTATGTACTCTTCCTACCACAGCGAAGCTCCTTCACTGTCTGCATTTTCTGTAGCCCAAGGTACAGTGCCTTGTACAATTAGAGGATTAACCAATAGTTATTGGATAAATGAACTACAATTCCATTTCTTTGGAGCTATTGAGAATGATCAGATAAAAGAATGTTCAATTACTTAATATCATAAGGTATAAAGCAGGGTGTATTTCCATTTCCATCTTTTCAAAATTAAGCAGAAGGAGAACAATGCAATTCACTGCAATTATTAAATAATTATTTAATATTAGCTTTCCAAGGCCATTCACCCTGGTCGGTGGCTGGAAACCTAGATAAGGAAGGCTTATCCCTCTGTTACTGGTGATAACAACTCAGGTCCTCCAGCACTTTAATCTTCCTCTGTGTAACAAGATGAGATGTGGAATCCATGTTATTTAGTTGTATCAGAGGAATTTGGTGGACTGATAACTGGTGTCTCATTAGGTCTAATACTCAGGGTAAGATAAATGAAGAGGATGGTGATACCCCACAAGGTACCATAAAAAGCTCAAAAAGGGAGTGTTTCATTACTTTAAAATCTTCATGAAAACCTTGAACTCTTCTCATATTCCTAAATTGAGAGAAAAGAGTCTGAGAAATAATTTAGCAGGTTTAAATGATAGATTTTAGACCTAAAAACCTATTTTACTGTGTTCTTTCCCAAATTTTACTAAAAAGAACTTAAAAATTGCTTTACTGGCTGGGCGTGGTGGCTGACACCTGTAATCCTAGCTCTCTGGGAGGCCGAAGCGGGAGGATTGCTTGAGCTCAGGAGCTTGAGACCAGCCTGAATAAGAGCAAGACCCTGTCTCTACTAAAAACAGAAAGAAATTAGCCAGGCATGGTGGTGTGCACCTGTAGTCCCAGCTACTTGAGAGGCTGAGGCAGAAGGATTGCTTGAACCCAGGAGTTTGAGTTTGCTGTGAGCTAGGCTGATGCCACGGCACTCTAGCCCGAGCAACAGAGTGAGACTCTGTCTCAAAAGAAAAAAATTGTTTTATTCTTGATGTTCATTCAGTCAGTATTCAACATGCATTTACTGGATGCCAACTATGTGCAGGTGCTTGTGCTTGAGCAACGGGAGATGCTGAACTAGACACACCTCTACCCTGGAGTTGCCCACAATCTGGAGAGACAGCAAGGGCTAAGGCCCCAACGCCAGCACATGCCTGGCGTGTCTGAGGGTCAGCTAGGACAGGGTGCCCACACTGGAGTCAGTGAGCGGGAGGGGAAGAGAATGAAGTCAGAGGAACAGAGGAACAAGGAGACCACTTGGGCTCTTGCACTGATCTAGGCATGAGACAACGATGGCCTGGACCAGGGTAGCAGAGATCTGCATGGTGAGCCCTGGTGAGCAGATGCTGGATGTATATTGAAGGTTTACTGTGGCCACAGAGAGAATAAAACCCTTAATCTCCAGGTAATGCTTGCTCTGTTTGTTATGGGAAATTGCATTTATACATTACATGTTGTAATTACAGAACTATGTTCGTGGCAAGAAAATAAGTGTAATTACCTAAAGTTGTAATGTACACCATTTATCCACCATCCTGCTGACTCTTTCTCTGTAACTGCATTTTTATCTGAGTAGCTTGACTTCACTTGTTTGTCAGAAAACCCTGATACCCTTTGTTTTGGCGTTTTCTCTACATACCTGTTTGTGATCAACTTTGTGACACTAAGAGATTCATTTCTAAACAGCAACATAAATTCAAACTTTTCCCTAGGTGTTAAATCATTTACAGACATGTTATGATGTCTGTAGTATTAACAGAAATGTTAGATTACTAACATTTACTGGGCATTTAATGCATGCTAAATACTATATTGGGGCATTCATAGAACTTTTATGAGGTGATCCTTCCAGTATCTTCATAGAAAGTAAATTTAACAGTACATATCAAATGTTCTAAGTTTCCCAGTACACGCCAAGGTTCCAGAGGCCTTTCTTTCATTCTGCAACAGATGCTTACTCAGTAACACCACGTCGTCTGCTGTCAGGGAGCACTGGTGAAGATCTAGGACTTCCAGATGCTTTAGCAGCGCCAGCTGGGCAGACGAGTCTTCAAAGCCTCCACCCAGCTTCTTGTTGCAGGAAAGATCTAATTTCCTCAGCTCACCCAAGTATCTGAAAGCAATCTCTACAAAGAAAGTCAAAATCCCGCTCTGACATGTCTCAAGGTGGTAGGAAAGTATGTAGGGAGGCAGGTAGTGGGGGTGGGAGGAAGGCTGTGTTGACAAAAGCCAAAAGGAAGAGACTGCAGACTTCCTGCCAGCTGCCCTCTGTGCACCTGGCGGTGATTTCACACATACTCCCCCTTTGACGTGAATCCTGCAACTGCCTTGAGCATACCTCCTATTGCACTTGAGCATTGGCATTAACACGGAATTTTAGGCTTACTCAAGCTGCGAGTGAGGATATTACAGGCTCTGTAAGTTGAAGGGAAAAACACAATGTCATTTCCTATCCTCTGTGAATGTGGATGCTCTGTACAGGGGTATACGATTTAGCTAAGATGCCATTGAAGCCATTATTTTCATCAGTGCCAATTCCTTCCTACTACTGAGCATAAAATAATGGTGAGGTTTTCAAAAAGAGGAGAAAGCCTGGTAGCTTTAGTAGCAAAGAAACTTTTATTTTGCTCAATGTCTCTCCTCAAACATAAAATATACTGGCTTTTTCAGACTCAATCATTTTAAAAGCTTATTTTTGTAATCAAAAAATATATATTCACTGCAAAAAATTTAGAAAATGAATAAAACATAAAGAAGATTTAAATTATCCATAATCTTATTCCCCAACATAACCACTGTTTGTATTTTGTTGTATTTCCTAATGGTTTTTAAATATATTTCTATATAATATCCTAAATTTAGACATTGTTAACTCACCCAATGTTTTGACACTCTTTTGTGATAATCCACATGAATGTAGCTTCAACACCCTCAGATTTGAAGTACATTTAATCCCTGAGCAAGCCTGTCCAGACTGCCTCCGATGTTTCTGTTCATGGAAAGATCAAGCACTTCAAGACCTTGCAGCACAGGTAGCAACTGACCTGGGAGGAAGAAAAGGCAACAGAAGAGCAACACCATGAAAACGCAGGGTGTGAAACCAGCATGCACAAGGGGACAGCAGCCTGCCATGGCCTTGGGACAGAGTGAGTCTCCCCTTAAGTTCAGGATAAAGCAAAACAGCAAACTTGGATTCCCAAATTATCCAATCACGGGCATCTTCACCCTTCTTTTCTGGGATGGACTCTTCAAATTCCACTTACCCACAAATGCCCCATCTTCTGTCGTGAGGGCACAGTCCACGAGCTCAAGCGTTTGTATCTTGCTTCCTTTTTGGAACTTCTGGAGGATCAGGGACAAGTTTCCTCCCACTTTACTGTTCCAGGACAAATTTAGCTCCTCAAGTTCAGGTATCATTTCAAGTGCTTCTCCTGTTACAAAATATCCCCAAAACTCTGTTGCTCGGTAGTCAGAAAAGCAGGGCATGCATTTCAAAATCAATACAAACATTATTTACGGAGTATGGAAGCTGAGCCAGGTACTGGATTATGTTAGCTGATGAGGAACAGCAAGAAGAAAAGGGTCCAGCTCCTGCCAGCTCACAGCAGTGTGAGCTTCTGTATTTACAGGCAGTAACTCTCATCCCTCCAACATTCTGAAACCATGTGTATGAGTAAAAAATTGTAGTTGTAAAAGAATCCATATACTGGTAGGGTGGTTCAGGAAGTCGCTTTTGTGGCAGTCCATCTACTTTCTCTCATTCACCCTCTCAGGGGTCAGCATTTCTGAGAAGCTTGACCAGGGGTAGAAATGAGGCAAAGCAGAGGACTGGCCACCACGGCAGCGAAGCTGTCTTCAACATCAACAACATCACACAACTGAACCAACTGCTACAGAGAGGAACTGACAATAGAACATCAGGTACTGGCAGCTTACAACAGCCACACTGCCTCAGGGGAAGATGGGGGTGCAGTGAAAGACGGGTGAACCCTGACATTTCTGAAACCAATGCACACAGGAAAGCATCCAAGGGCTATGGCCTAGAGCCTGGAAGAGAACAGGGGAAGTGACCAGAGAGATCCAGCCTTAGGAATGATTTCCACTGCCTCGAGGTAGAACACACACATGGAAGATGGACCCTCACTGTGTAGTATCAACCTTAAGACCCAACAATTAAGGATCCCGGGAAGTCCCCTGTATCCAGAGCCTCTCTTTCACTGGTTGCCACTGGACTTGAAGATCTACCATTATTTATTTATTCCATGGATTAAAGTTTTAGGAGTCCAGGAGCCCCATGTTAAAATGCATATTGTCCAGGAGTTACAGCGTCTTAAGGCAGGGGTGAACAGGTGTCGTTTTGTCACTGCCCGTTGGCAGTCACTGAGAGTGACTGTCTATAGTCCTGAGTGTCCCCCAGGATCAGGGAGAGAATGCATGACTGATTATGACACAGAAATGTGACTCCCAGTACTGGGAATCACTTGAAGTCCAAGTGGGTCCTTGGCTTCATGCAAGAAAGAATTCAGGATCAGATGACAGTATAAAGTGCAAGGGAGTTTTATTTGGGAAGTATAGAAAGTCTAGTCCACAGACAGAGTAGAGGCTAGTTCCCCTTGTGGAGGGGAACCCACCCCATGGTTCATTTTGCCCCTCTATTTAAGCAACAGCTTAATTATAGGCTAAACAAGGGGAGTAGCATTCATGTTATTTCTTGGAAACAGGTGATGTTTTCCTGGAATTAGGGTGATGCTCTTCTTTTGAGTAAATATGGCCAAACAGGATGTGTCATGGTGTCAGGTGCATGATGGGAGTAAGAGGTTTCCTTAGAAACTTTTATGGTAATGAAATGTACAGTGAAGCTGTAAGGTCAAGAGGTGGTCATTTCTCCACCTTGGTTCTAACCTATTGGAACTTGTCCTGCCTCCATCATGTGTTGATCAGGGTAGTTTGAAACTTGTTTTGCGTGACTCAGTTAAACAATGCCTGCACAATTAAGCAATGCCCAAAGTAGTGTCCAAGGCAATGCCCAGAGCAATGCTTGAAGCAATGCCCAAAGCAGTGCCTGCCAGTTCCCTGTCTCAATTAATAGTGTCTGCAGCAGACACAGTACTAGAGTCCCCTGCTTTAGCCATCTTGCACTAAGCAATTGTAACGGGTGTAATAATTTTGAAATGCCTCCTGATTTATGTTGTCTTATCAATAAACCATTTATTCTCCCTAGACTCCATCTGCCATTAAGGCTTAGCGAGGAGAACAGAGTATGGTGATAAGCACCCCCCACACACACACCTCCCACAACCCCCCACCCCACCCCCGCCGCATGGGAAAGGATGCAGACGTCCTTGCAGAGAGGAAAATGGGAGGACTTCCGGGAGAGGGAGGGGGACAAAGCGTCAGAGTGGCCAGGATGCAGGCTCTCTCCAAGGCCAGATAAGTTTGGAATGGGTCCCAGGGCAGCAATTCCACTTTCTTGCCTCCTAAGAATTGGAAGATCACGAAAAAGATCAGGTTAATCATAGAAAAAATGAAACTAAATTGTCTTTTTACACCTGAGTAAGTTTATGTTAAATTTGCAAGTCTGCTACACAATAACAAGTTGCTAACCCTGGGGCTAAATTGATCATGTAAACCCACAGAAAAGTAATTTTGATGAGAGAACAGGGCATAAAGGAACTATCAATTCTTGAGCACTTATCATGTGCCAGGCATGTGACAGGTACTTCACAGAAATTATTTAGTCCTCGCAATAATTTTTGGAGAGGGAGATTTATCCCCATTTCAGAGATAAGGAAACTGAGGTGCAGAAAAGTTAAATTTTTTGTCCATGTTCACAAAGCTAGTTAAACGTGGCACTAGGATGTGGGCAACCCTAAGATGTATAATGTTTCTCCTCAGCTATGGGAAGGGTAGACCAGGGGACATCGGCTGGCCTCCATTTTCCAGGTAGGGACTAACGAGTGACATGAATTGTGTTGTTTTTACAGAAACCTTTAGAGAGATGTAAATGATCAAAATCTGTCATCAGACCATAAAAACAATTTAAAAAGTATTCATGACATCTAATAAACCTGCAAGCATTTTAAAACAGCAGCTGTGTAAGTAGCATGACTTCATACAAATTTTATCCTATGTTCAGTAATAAACTAACTTAAATGAGGTTCTGGTTCTAATTCAACCCTTGTTTTTGCTTTAAAAATCTGGTTCTGATCAATCTTTTAAAATGGAGGAGGAAAAAATAGAAGAGAGAAGAATTATTTAGGAATTGGAAAAGAACTTAATTCTTATCTACTCCAACTCCTCTATTTTACAGATGAGGTAACTGAGACCCAGAGCGAGCATGTTTTAAAATAACCTCCATTAAAACTCCATGAAAGGCCGGGCGTGGTGGCTCACGCCTGTTATCCTAGCACTCTGGGAGGCCGAGGCGGGAGGATTGCTTGAACTCAGGAGCTTGAGACCAGCCTGAGCAAGAGCGAGACCCCATCTCTACTAAAAATAGAAAAAATTAGCCGGGCATGGTGGCGCATGCCTGTAGTCCCAGCTATTTGGGAGGCTGAGGCAGCAGGATTGCTTGAGCCCAGGAGTTTGAGGCTGCTGTGAGCTAGGCTGGCGCCTTGGCACTCTAGCCTAGGCAACAGAGTGAGACTGTTTCAAAAAAAAAAAAAAAAAAACCTCCATGAAAGCAGGATCCTAGTCAACCTCATTCCATTCTCTGTCCATGTCGCTTAGCACAACACTAGGTACAGGGTTACACAGCTGCTCATCGTTACGCACGTGCTCAACACAGATCCACCATCACCCATGGAAGAGGAGACATAGGTAGTTTGGCTTTGAGGATTCAGGTTGCTTCGAGTGAAGCCATCTCTTAAGGGACAAATTCATCATACCCAGTGCTCGAACATCCTCAGTGGTAAGTCTGCAACTACCCAGCCTCAGGATTTTTAACTTGCTGACCAGATGCATTTGCTGAGTGATTGAATGGAGGGTTCCACCTACAAAATCATTCCAGGAAATATCCAGTTCTTCCAGGTCTGGGAGAAAAGGCAGCAAAGCAACTAGACACGAACAGAAGAAAACACAGGTTTATATTAATATATGTAATTTGTGATTTGTAGTAAATAGAATCCAATGCCTACATGCATAGGATATAGTTTTGCACTGTAAGAGACTAGAGGGGAGTGGGGATGTTGACTTTTAGCAAAGCAGGGATCTCTCAGCTGTGCAATTCCAGAAACTGTGACATTTACATTTCCTATTTCTGGAGATGTGTTCTATTTCTGGCAAATAACTACACTCTGAAAACACAGTGTTATCTCCGTAAGAATTCACAGAACCTCCTTTATTGTAGTTGAACTGAACAATGGTAATGGTAATTCCGCCACCATAACCACTACTACCACTGCTTCTGCAATGTGTGTACTGGCCCTTTTATTTTGCAAAATCCTCTGACATCCATCAGCAGTCACTCTATTGGGTCCCCAGATTGAAAGGCCCGAGAGGTGCTCTGTTGGCCAGGACTGCTGAGACTGAGCGTGCCTGTTCCCTTTTCTTTTTTATCTTGACTACCTGGCTGTCACCACCTTGAAAAGCTTCTGTAATGCTCAAAGGGACCAAGATGTGGATGTTCAGACAGGGACAAAGCTTGACTGGAGCCTTCTCTGAGTCTCTGCCACCGCTCCTTAAACGTGCAGTTACTCTCTGTGACAAAGATTCTCAAAGGGCGTCTTTATCTCCTGAAGCAACAAGACTTGAGATGGGGATGTCAAAGTAGAGGCTGAAGCGTCTGTGCTGCCCGCCCGCCACTGCATGTCTATGATGAACGCTGCGCTGGGGGCGGCAGTCAGAGCAGCGTGTTGGGCCTCTGTAGTTACAGGCACAGCAATTCCAGACCTTCCGAAATTCTGAAGTCATGCTTATTGAGCGAAAAATGGTTTTCTTTTTACTAGTACTCATAGCACTTTAGCGATTTCATCTTGTTCACCATGATCCTAACTTCATAAAGTATAAAAAGTCTATTGAACATATCAAGAAAGCAAAAAAAAAAAAAAGACCACCAAAAACTTTGCTTTTCTAACATCAGTTAGTAGCTGAACTCTGTCCCATAACTTTTTATCTCCCAATTTTTTTTAATGCATAAAGGAAATCAAGCCTCCCTCTTTGTTAGTAACCCCATTAAAGAAAATGCAACAGCCATATACAAAATACAGGGTAGTTTGTATCAGACTCCCGTGAGTGGCTTGTTAATCCCATGGGGAGCCCCTGGGGCCCCCTCTGAGAGAATACGATTTGGTGGCCTCCTCTGAGAGAATAGGATTCGGCAGGTTTGGGCCAGACTCGGGTGGCTGCATTTCCGCAGCTGCAGGAGTGATTCTGACACAGGCGTTAGAGGACCACAAGCATAGGGTTCCCTCTTAAGTGACCTGTTCCAAATACAATGGTGTGAATTTTAATTAAAATAGTGCTTTAGTCTGAATGTTTGGGTTCCTCCCCACCCCCAGCAAATGCATATATTGAAACCTAATCCCCAATGCAATAGTACTGAGAGGAGGGACCTTTAGGATGCGTGATGGTTAATTTTAGTGTCAAGTTGACTGGGCAGTAAGGAATGCCTAGAAACCTGGTAAAGCATTATTTTTGAGTGTGTCTGTGTGGGTGAGTCCAGAGGAGACTATGAGTCTAAGTGAACTAGGTGAGGAAGATCTATCCTCAATGTGGGCGGGCACCATCCAATCTGCTGGGGGCAAGGAGAGAACAAAACATAGAAAAGGCAAACATGTCGATACATCTGCTGGAGTTGGGACACATTCTTCCTCTCCTGTCCTTGGACAACAACTCCAGGCTCCCTGGCCATTGAACCGCAGGACTTACACCAGCAGCACCCCTGAGTTCCCCAGCGTTTGGCCTTGGACTGAGAGTTACAACATTGGCTTCCCTGGTTTTGAGACCTTTGGACTGAGCCACACTACCAGCACCCCAGTCTCCAGCCTACAGGTGGCCTGCTGTGGGACTTCTCAGCCTCCTTAACTGCATGAGCCAATTATCCTAATAAATATCCTGTCATATCTCTGTATCTACATCTATATATATCCTACTGCTTCTCTCTCTCTGGAGAACCCTCCTAATACAGGAGGTGACTAGGTCACAGGATGGGATCAATGCCTTTATAAAAAGGGAAGAGAGCCAGGTAGCCCCTTCCCCCATGTGAGAATGCAACTAGAAGACACCATCTATGAACCAGGAAAGGGGTTCTCACCAGATACCAAATATACCAGTGCCTTGATCTTGGACTTCCCAGCCTCCAGAACTGTGAGAAATAAATTTCTGTTGTTTATAAATTACCCAGTCTAGGCCAGGCAAGGTGGCTCACGCCTATAATCCTAACACTCTGGGAGGCCAAGAAGGAGGATCATTTGAGCTCAGAAGTTCAGGACCAGCCTGAGCAAGATCAAGAACCCGTCTCTACTAAAAATAGAAAGAAATTAGCTGGACAACTAAAAATATATTAACAAAAAATTAGCCAGGCATGGTAGGGCATGCCTGTAGTCCCAGCTACTAGGGAGGCTGAGGCAGGAGGATCGTTTGAGCCTAGGAATTTGAGGTTGCTGTGAGCTGGGCTGATGCCATGGCACTCTAGCTCAGGCAACAGAGCGAGACTCTGTCTCAAAATAAATAAATTACCCAGTCTAAGATATTTTGTTATATAACAACCTGAACAGACTAACACAAAGAGTTAAGGACCCCTCACTCAAAATGCAAATTGTTTGATAGCTCTCTGTTGGCAAACACATCCAATTTGATGTAAGGTATCTGAGAAACAGAAAAAAAGGGTGATGTGATATGGGGAGGGCACTTCTCAACCAAACTCCTGCTAGGTGTAACAAATAGTAGGCACATTTGTACCTTCATGTACAGAAGGTATTAGCAATAATTGCTGGTAGTTATACTTTTCATACCACAGATAATAAACAACACAATATTCCTTTAAATTCCCAGTAGGGCTCAGTTTTATGGACGAGTTTCATTAGTTTATAACATCTGCAAGAACAGATGTTTTCCAGAGAGCAAGAGGCAATCAGGTAGATAAAATTTCGCAGGAAAAAAGAAACAAATGAACCTTCCTCCTAAACTCAGCTCAAATCTTCAAAATTTGAAGAAGGATCAATTAGCTTTTCTTAAAAAAAAATAGTGATGCAGCTGCTCTTCCTGCAATTGTCTGGGACCACTCAGCAGACTTGGAGTGAGCAGGTGGGTAACTGATTATGTTTCGCCTGTTCATCTCAATGTAAAGACATATATTCCTCTGCACAAGGTCAACTGCATACAGACCCACTTCCCTCAGGTCCGCTCTTGTTAATCCACAGTTATTCAAATCTAGACACTTGTCGACAGCCTTTTTGCCCAGCTTCTGCAGGAACTGCTCATTTTTCTCCGTCCTGGGTCTAAATTCCACTTCTGAACTGAGAGGCTTAGCTGTATGATAAGAATAAAGAAGAATTTGTTGTTAATGACAGATAGTATTAAAAATGCATCATGACCACAATAAGACAAGTGAAAAGACCGACAACCCTGAACTTGTCCCTGGTAAAACTTCAATCCAGAAAGGGAGGCATTCACCAGGGACAAAACTTAGCCACCGTTCCTGCCATTGGGTGCTCAAACACTGATTGCTTCAGGAGCCTGGGGAACTCAGTGGCTTTTCTATCCTGGCCTAACCTGGTCTTCTCGGGGTGAAGACTGTGTTGTATTCTTGGGTGAGAAGCAAACCTGTTAGCGCAGCCTTTGAGATTCTCGCTGCTTGGAGACCACACATCTCTTTGGTGGATGCAATGGCTGGGGAAGAAGCACAGGTATTTGCCTCCTAAAGCCAAACAGCTGGACTACGGAAGCACTGAAATCACCATCAGTGAGCTTTAACCACTTCCGTACGGTGCTCACCGGCTGAGACACCTTACCCACAGCCGGCACTCATGATCCGCACAACAGCTTGTGCTGTGTGCATTGACTCCAGATCCGTTTTGCTCCTGTGTGATGAGGAAAGCTTTAAAGCACTGAAAGCTTGTTTTACTTTACAGGCAGCTTTACTCGTAATGTAAATCAGAGTAGGTAACATATACATATATGTTTTCATTACGTTATTTTTAAATGTTCACAATTTTATTTTGATAAATGAAAAATTATAAAAGTCATATCACGGCTGTCGGCTAAAGTCGCTGTGTGTGTTCATCTGTGGCTGTCAACTATAGTCGACGCTCATACCGAAGTGGTTAATTGGCTACAGCAAGGGGGGTAAAAGACTTGCTGGTCAGTTCCTAGACCACCATTCAATTGAAAAACACAAAGAGAGTAGTGGCCGGGAGAGCATCTGCATTTTCTCAATTCCTGCTAGAAAATGCATTCAGAAAGCCTCATTTGTCCTTCTCTTTATTAGGAACACATGGTGCACCCTCACTAGGGACACATGGTGCACCCTCACCAAGTTCCTCTGTAATAGCACTGCACAAACACGGTAGCACTGTAATAACAAAAGCTATTATCCTATTGAGCACCTGGTAGTGCTACCTACTTCCATGTGCCCACATTTTAGACACACACAAAACACATCATACTTTTGGCAGGAAAAAATGGATATGTACTGACAGTGACTTTTTTTTTTTTTTTTTTTTTTGAGACAGAGCCTAACTCTTTTGCCTGGGCTAGAGTGCCGTAGCATCAGCCTAGCTCACAGCAACCTCAAACTCCTGGGCTCAAGTGATCCTCCTGCCTCAGCCTCTTGGGTAGCTGGGTCTACAGACACACGCCACTGTGCCCGGCTAATTTGTTTTCTATTTTTAGTTGTTTGGATAATTTCTTTCTATTTATAGTAGAGACAGGGGTCTCACTCTTGCTCAGGCTGGTCTCGAACTCCTGACCTCAAGCAATCCTCCCGCCTTGGCCTCCCAGAGTGCTAAGATTACAGGCGTGAGCCACCGAGCCTGGCCCTGACAATGACTTCAAAGTGGTTTTTAAGTGAAAATGTATATTTAAACATATAGAAAGTATATTGGACTCCAATGGGAAATCAAAAGTTCTGAAGTGCAGTAAGTAATTTTTTACTAACCCTGACAAAAAGATATAAAACCGCATAGCTAAGAAATACATTGGTACCAGTGAAAATTAAAAGATAGTGGGATTGCATTATTGATACATTGAGACTAAAATATTAGCAAGATAATAAAAAAACTTCACCTCTAAACCACAGTGTGTCTGTGGCGTGCCATTTTTGTTGAGAAAACCACCTACCTATATGTAGGGTGCACATCTTGATGGCATGGTGAGTGTTGCCACATTCCACCAGTAGGAGGCAGCATCATCCACCCTTTTACCTCTTCACTGTGGCCTTCAATTTGTATCATTGCACATTGGGTACAAGGTATTTTATTTGGGGTAGGGTTGCCAGATTTAGGGAAAACAAAAACAGGACACACCGTTAAATTTAAATTTCAAATAAATAAAGAATAATTTTTTAGTGTGCTCCAACTATTGCATGTATTTGTTCTGGCAACCCTAATTTTGGGTGGGACAAAGCAGAGTGTGGATAGGGGACAGGGAGGGACTGCCTCTTACTTGCCAGCAAGTACAGGGCATTCTGTTTAAAGTAGTCACAATTAAACCATTTTATAGATTTGGAAACTTGGACTCAGAGGGACTATTAATTGGTAAGAACAAGAGACAGAATTTGAACTCAGAATAGTTTGCTCCAAAGCTCATTATATGTGCATGTGTTTTATTTTTGTATTTAAAAATATTCTGTGGATTGCATCTTATTACTTCCTCTATTTTTTCAATCTTTTACCTCAGCCTACAATCATGCTCAAGTTGCAGCACCAACAAACCTTCTCTTCTGTTTCTTCCTCAAGCCACTGTTCTATCAATCATTTCCTTTCCTGGCAAATGTTTGGAAAGAGTGGTTTGCACTTGCTGGCCCAACTTCTTCACCACCTTTACCAGTTCACTTTCCACTTTCTTGTTACTATACTCACCTATCCCAATAAGTTGTTTCTCAAAGGTTACTAACAGTCACCTACCAATTGACAGATTCAGAAATCTCTTCTAAGTCCACATTCCATTTGGGTGTTCAGTAAGGTATGATAGGATTGAAGAAGACCTGGTTCAAATCATGGGTCCATCAGATGAACAAGTCACGTAACTTCTCTGAGCCTTGATTTACTCACCTATAAAATGAAGACTATATTTCCTGCCTGGGTCATTTCTCAGGAAGATAGTGACTTAAACTTACTGGAGCCTTCCAGGCATATGGGAATGTGCAGGGCCTTTTACCTGAGAAGTACTTGGTAAATATTTGTTGAATGTACAAATAATCGAATGAATAAATATTGGTTTTACAGTACCTCAATTACAAAATAAATCAAACATGATAAAGCCTTCACAAAATACCTAAATATAAATATTAATACCAACTTATGAGACCCCTGGACAAGGCCTCTCAGAACATCTATTTCAATTTTTGTTTTAAATCTATGAAGCCCATTCTTCGAGGGGTACCTCATGTTACTGCTCAACTCAGTCTGGAAACCAGATGAGTCGGAGCTGCTGGCGTTTGGCGGGGCTGGGAGGGCTGGGGCTCCACGGGGGACACACAGTGATCACACAGGAGTGGCCTGTGGGGCAATTTGGCCCTTTTCCAGGCTGCTTTAGCTCTGAACAAAGCTCTTGGTTCTTTGAGCTAAGCAGTATCTTCTCACCAAGTTCCTTTCCAACGTCAATCTGGCAAGGTTGGTTTGTGTTTGTTGGTTTGTGTTTATAACTTTTACAAGACACTATTACATGTTGGTAAATGGAGGGTACTGTACAGGGAACCAAGATCACAAGCTCCTGTTTTCAAAGAGCCACCCACCTAATGAAATACAGAAGGGAAGTGGAGACGCGGAAGGCGAATGGTAGCACACCTTAGTGACAATAAGTACCTCAGATATGGTGAGACCAGGTATGGTGGGTTGGTCTTGGGAAGCTTCCAAGGGAAACTGGTGCTTGAATTGCACCTTAGAGAATGAGCAGGAGTCAGCCAGGTAGGTGGACATGAGGGAGGGATAGGATAAGGCAGGGACGGGTGCAGGGGAGGATGGTGACACGAGGGAAGCTCTTCCTAGGCACAGGAGACCACTTGGGGTGGTGCGGGGGAGGTGGCCAGTTCAGGAAATTGCAAGTAAATCAGAACGTCGGAAGTAGAGGATGGCCATGGGGCCGTGGCTGGAGGTGGGAGAAGGCAGAGGTCACAAAGAGATAGCCAACACCCATCTGATCACGAACACCTGGAAGGCCACACTTGGAAGTGGACTTTCTCTTCAAGGCAATAAAAACTCAGCAAAGGATTTTAAGCAGGTGAGAGACATCATCATATCGGTGGTTCAGAAAGAGCACTCAGGGGCAGTGTGGAGGACAGGCTGGCAAGAGAGCAAGACTAAAAGCAGAGAAACCAGTCACTTATTCTTTTAAAGGTAAACTTTAACTTCCTATTTATAAAAAACATACTTAAAGTACATCTAGTCAACTTGCTGGTAAAACTATATTATTTTTGGCATTTGATGCCAGACAATCTGATGGACAGTAGGGTAGGTAGAAATGAAACAAGATTGGCCACAGGTTGTTAATTATTAAAGGTGGGTGACTATGAGGACTCCTTATACTAGTCTCTGTACTTTTGCATATGTTTGTTTGTTTTTGTATAAAACACTTTAAATGTTTTTAAAATACATTTAATCTAATAGATAATATATTGATGGCATTGCATATGACACAACTTTGGAAAGAGATTTGGCAATATTTTCATAACCTTTATATTTACAAACTTTGTTTGGGGAATTTTATACTAAAAAAAAGCTGAAACCCAGTGAAGAGGGAATGGGAAGAGGGAAAGCCAAAGATATTCACTGAAGGATAAAAGGAGAAACTTATTAAGTAATTATGATATATGCATATAATGGAATATTATGCAACCATGAAAACTATGCATGTGAGCATCATGCAGCAATGTGGGAATTGAGCAGTATTAAAGTATGCTCCAGAATTAGGATCACAGCTCCATGTAAGCTCAGGAGGGATTCGTAAGATATTACAACTATGCAAACAATGCTGATCTGGCCCCAGCTACCTCTCTGTTGCATCTTCTACTACTCTCTTTCTCACTGCATTGCTCATCCTGCTTCAGCATCCCTGACCTCCTGGCTCTCTCTCAAACCTCCAGGCTCAATCCTACCTGGCACCTTTGCACTTACCGTTCCCTTTGTCTAGGACTCTACTCCCACAAATACCTAATTGGTGGCTTTATTCATTCATTCTACATGGCTGTTTATTCATATCTCTACTCAAATGCCACCAAATCAGAGACTCCTTTCCTCCAACCCCATCTAAAGTAGCACACCATCCCATCATCCTCTATCTCCTTAGCCTACACTATTTTTCTTTTTCTTTTTCTTTTCTTTTTCTTTTGTTTTTGAGACAGAATCTCACTCTGTTACCCAGGCTAGAGTGTCATGGCGTCAAGCCCAGCTCACAGCAACCTCAAACTCCTGGGCTCAAGCAATCCTCCCGCCTCAGCCTTCCGAGTAGCTGGGACTACAGGCATGCGTCACCATGCTTTTAGTTGGCCAATTAATTTCTTTCTATTTTTAGTAAAGATAAGGTCTCACTCTTGCTCCAGCTGGTTTCGAACTCTTGACCTTGAGTGATCCTCCCCCTCGGCCTCCCAGAGTGGTAGAATTACTGGTGTGAGCCACCGTGGCTGGCTACTATTTTTCTTCATATCGCTTATCTCACCTGAAATTATATCTGCATTTGGTTGTCTACATAAGACCCTGTTTTTCATGGCTGTATTTCTAACAGTTAGAACAGCAGCTGGCACATAGTAGGCACTCAGTGAATATTTGTTGAATGGCTGGATGACCGACCATAAATGAATACATATATTAAAAAAAGACTCAAACGAATCTTGAAATAATGATCATTTGTGTTATAATGAAAGGAAATGAGGTGTTTCCCATAAACCATTCTGTAGCGTTATAATACACTTCTTATAATAAGAAGAATAATGCACTTCTTATAATAAGAATGCACTTATATAATGCACTACTTATAATAAGTAAAATTACAAGTTATTCAAAGCATTTAAGTGACACAATAGATGTTTAGCACAGAGAGTCATAGTTGTAGTTTAACCCTTACGATCTCTGTAGGAGAAAACATTATTTAAGAAAAAATTAAAGAAATACCAGCAACCAGAAGTTTACCAGTGTCGAAGGTGGCTGTCTTCTGTAACCCATCGATGGGTTGGGAATCAGTTGTTTTAAGGTCATTGTTCTCCTTTCTGCTTTCAGCTTTGGAGTCCCTGAGGAATTTGTTAACAAATGAAGTCTGGGATTTACTTTCTCCTTCTGAGGAATTTTTCTTCCTTGTTTGACTCATAGTCAAGTTAAAGGGGGTCCTTCTTCATAAGACACCTTCCTGTTGTTTTCTGTTTGCTAGGATATCTGAGAAGAAAATAAGCCTCTCTCAAGCCTCTGTGAAATCAAAACATTCTCCCCTATATGAGTCCCACTTTTTTCTTCCTGTTTTTTATTGCTGACCCTGTTTAACATAAAAATAAGAATGACTTAACCCAGGATCCGGGAACCAACAGATGGTAATAGAAATAAATCCAAAGCAAATTTGAGTTTTTAATATTGCCCTATTTTATCCTGTGAGATACAGGTCATTAAACACCACTTTGGCAAACACATCAAGTGTGTCAATACATCTTAAATTACAGCAGTCAATTAGAGTTACCTTGTAAGAAAGAGACGGTAGTAAAGGAGTTCGTCTGCCTCCAGGATGGGCTGGCCATTTGCAAAGCTGTCCCAGTAGGACTTTGCCTTCCCTGACTCCCAGTGAGTACCCTCCTTTGCATACCACTCCTTTTCCTCTTGGTATTTTCACACTTTCTCTAATCCAGCCCTTGATTGCCACCCCATTCAAAACTGACAGTAAAGAATTCATGTATTCCATGAACATTTTTAAAGAACCTACTGTGGGCCAGTTATTGTTCTAAATGCAAGAGATTTGGTAACAAACAAGACACACAGCTCTTGTCTTTGATGGAAAATTAACCTGGTAGAAAGAGGGACCTGTATACCAATGAATATGGGAGACAAGGGCTGTTGGAGAGAAGAGATGGGAGTTGTCAGGGACCCCCCAGGTGAACTAAGACTGTCTTGGAGCACAGACTGTGGACAATCAGTGACATTGCCTGGGTTTTGAAGAACTGGGCATTAGCTAAAAAGGGGAGATACAGAAGGGCATTCCAGGCCAAAGAAACAGCAGGCTCAAAAGCATGGGCTCTCGGCATGGATTCTGGTTGGCCTGCAGTAAGGGAATGTGGAGGCTGGAAGTTAGGATTGGAGTCTGGTGCTATTTGAGGCTAAAAAGGATTCATAAGGATCGATTTATTAGCTCTCTTGGAATTTGCTTACCCTGTACAGGAAGATTAAATAATTTAAAGGAATAAATGTAGGTGTTTAAATTACAGTGCTCATGGTTTCCACTCTATAAAACAGCTCTTTCTGTAACAGTAATAGCTCAAAAACCATTTTGCACAAGGAATCCTAAAAATTGACCTTGCAGGGTCCACCTCCATGCCTTCTATACCTGAAATCCACCTCCATATACTTAGAACACTGCTTTGGGAATCAAAATTGGACATTCCATGGTTTTTTTTAAATTTTCTTTTCATATTAGAGCTGGGTCCAGCCCTGGTTTACCCAGAAACAGATAGCAATGGAACCAGACCATTGCCCCAGGCCATAGCACCACAGCTGACCAGAGCTTCAGAGGGTTAGGTAGGTGGGAAAGAAAAATGAAAGACCACATAAATCCAAGCACAGTCTGCAGCCCTGGCTGCCCACCCTGCCCCATTTCACCATCACCCATGAGCACTTCTCTTTTTGATGGCCTTCTGGCTCCCTCCCAAGACTTACCTCTGTGGTCATTTTCACCCAATTTCACCTTTTGGAGATTTATGCAGGCCCATTCTCTGGGGAGCTAGCTCACCAAATGGCTTCACTCCCTCCCACCCCTAACTAAGTACACTGACTCCAACTCCCCAGGTCCTAAGAAAACACTGCTGGCCAGAGCTCCAGGATGTGGTAATTTACTCAGGTGAAACCCCACCCAGCTCTGCAGACTGCTGGGTTCTCCATGCAGATTAGTACCCCTGTGAGCAGGGGAGGGGCTGGGAAAGGCAAGAAACAGAGCAGGAACCAAAGGAAGAGGAAAGGAAACAAAAGAAAGGAGAGAAACGCAAGAAAAGAAAACAACTGGGAGGCTAACAAGGAATCTAGAAAGCAGCCTGGATGAGGGAGGAGACTTGGGAGTTGAAAGGGAAGCATCTGCACATTTCTTCTATATGCAGTAGGTAATAACAGTCAGCATGCTCACATGCAGAAAAAAAATAATTTTTCTTCAAAATGTGTTTGGAAAATTCCTTGTTATATAAAAATAATAAGCCCCCAGGCTTTCCATACCAATTCAAGCTTTAAAAACTTGGCTTAAACAAACCTTCCTTCCCCCCTTATCTCTGCACTCGACTTGACTTTACGAAGGTAAAGCCTGGAAATGGCATTTGAGAAAATCTGCAGGTCACAGCAATGCAACTACACTACAGTAGCTAAAAACTAGGAATGTCTGTTTCTTCTTCCAGGACTAGAGGCTGTCATTTAAGAGCCCTTTGGAAAAACAACAGCTGGCATTTCAATTCAACCTAACAACATTGATTGGGTAGCTTTAGACATTTACTATATTCTTAGTGGGTAAGGTTATTTGCCATGACACTAAGAATAATGCATATTTGACATGTTATTTCTTTTGCATGTAAGCTATTTCTATTTTTTTACTTTTGCAACAGTGAGAAATACATTTCCTTTTTTTTCCATCCTTAGGTTTGGGCTCCACATAATTTTAACATTTTTGAGGAATGCTTTCAAAGGCCTTGCATTTTTTGATGTAGTTTCAGAGTGAATCATATTTTCAGTGTTGTTTGTCAAAGGGAGGTGTGTTGTTCTTTCTCCACAAGACTTACTTCATTAAAAAGAAAGGAAATCCTGTTGCATATTACAACACGGATGAACATTGAAGACATTATACTAAGTGAAATAAGCCAGTCAAAATAAAACAAATGTTTGATACCACTTATATGAGGTATCTAAAGTAGTTAAATTCATGGGAATGGCAAGTAGAATGGTGGTTGCCAGGGGCTGGGGGAGGGGAAAATGGGGAGTTGTTTAATGGCTATAGAGTTTCAGTTTTGCAAGATGAAAAAGTTCTGGAAATCTGTTGCACAACAACGTGAATATATTTAACATTACCGAACTGTACACCTAAAAATGGTTAAGACGGTAAATTTTGTTATGTGTTTTTTACCACAAATAAAAATTATTAAAGTGTATTTTTAAAAAGTGATTCAGAGGACTAGAACTCTAAATGTAAAGTTTTAAGAAAACCTTAATCAATATCTGCTTTTATTTTCCTTCTTATATAACCATAAGTATGATATGATTTTAGAAAATCCATACCTAAGTATGTCTAAATAGATTTTAATAAGTATAAAATAAAAATAAAAATAAAATAAAAATCTTAGGTAATTGGGGAAAAAAATCTTCAGTCACTCAGTGTTAAGGCATTTTACTGGCATGCAGTATGTTAAGTCATGTATCTGATGGGCTTAGTTGAGCCCTATTCAGAACTCTTGTCTAGAAAAAGCATTATTATAGAAATATTTCTAGCACTTTAGTTAATCCTACCATGCTCAGTTAATTTAAGCAAAAAAGAATTTATTAAAAGAATGAACTTCTATTAAAAGGATAGTAGAAGTGAACATGTGTTTACCTACACTTCTCTTGAAACCACATTTAAGGGATTTTTAAAATCATCAATCTGTAAGGATAAAGGATAAAGAGAACTAGACAGACGTCTACACAATTTTGAAATCTCGAGAGCATGAGGATGAGTTTAACTGACTTTAAAGTGAAGTGCCTGCAAGGGTTGGGAGAACAAATTTTTCAAACTTCAGAATCCCAAACGTCTCAGTAATTGAAGGGACCAGGTAGGTAACTCTGAAGGAAAGAGAGAGGTGTAGGAAGGGCTGCACACAGGATAATTAGTGAAAAATTTGTAAGGAGTTAAACTGTTAAATACCATTTCTCATGCCGGGGCAACTATGCCTTCTCCACTCTGGCAAAACATAAGAAGTTTATTTTCAGGACGGGTTGAAACATAAAGGATCTAGACTCAGACACTGGTCATGTTGAGCCATGTTGTGAGTAATTTATCTGAAAGGAGCTTAAGTAAAGTCTAGATATTGAACCATGAGACTCCTCAATATTCTCTCTTCTTTTCCTCTAAGAACACACTTGAAACTAAGCGTAAGCCCCATTCTCCCATACAACAGAGGTACTGTCAAGGACATCTATCTGGGGAAACTGGTCAGCCCAAGAGAAAAAAACCTAGATATTGACTGTTGAGAGTCCCTCAGCTAAACGAATCTGTCCCTGCCCAAGCACATTACAAAGAAGTCCACTGATTAACAGGTCCTACTTATGTCCATAGATATCCCAATAGAATGACTAATGCTGTATATGCATGGAGGACCAAGGAACTCAAGATATTTGAGGAAATATTCTGACATGAAAATGTGGCACAGAAAAACAATAAGAAAAAGGAAACTCGGAGAAAATAAAGACAAGGAGAAGAAAAGACGTTTAAAAATCACTATTATACTTAGAATTAAGTATAATAAAGGGGACAGCCAGAGAAGGAAAGGCCTTCTAGAAATTAAAATATGATAGCAGCTTCTGGGCAAAATAAAAATGGCAATGGTGTGGTTTTAAATCTACCCAATCCTCCAACAACCACCACCACCACAATAAAATGCAGAACTACTGTCTACTATAAAAGAAACAGTGTATCTCATGAACTGCTGAAAACAAGGAAGGGGCTAATTAACTGATAGCAACAAGACCCACATGGCGTCAGCAAGTGGGCAAAAGGATGTAGGAAGCAGGTAAAGGGCCTTCTGGTGGCACTGAAAGTCAGCAAACCCATAATCAAATTTCCAGAGACACTTATCCCAAAGTCAAAGGATATACACTCAGCATAGAAAGCTCATTGAGTCTTTTTGAGAACAGCTGCCAGAGCTGGAAAGAGGTTCTATGGGTGAAGACAAGACAAAGGAAGGTTAGGTGGTGTGGGACACTTGGGGCCCTGCTAAATCTCAGCACTCACCAATTGAATCTCCTTTCAGGACAAAATCCCTCACAGAGGAGGAGGATCTGCTGAGAGTGGAACCTAAATTGAGCAGCACAGAGGCACTATGGGCAAAGGAAAAAGAAGAGATCAAAGTCGGGGAAGAGAGCAGAAAGAGAAGTTTCACAAAGTATAAGACAATATTGCTTACCTCTTTATAATAACAATAGAAAAGCTACTGAGCTAGGAAAGTAATCCTGGCCCCCCTCCCCTCCTAAGGCACACCACATGGGCCTCGTCACTGAGCTGCTTGATGTAATCTCACAATAACGCAGTTGACTTGCCAAAAGCAAAGGATTCAAGAGAGAGCAGGAGAAACTATGGTGCCTACTGCGACCCAGCCACACACCACCAACTCTACCATAGCCTTTTCCTTAGAAGTAACTCACAAGGTGCAGCACACTGTCAAGGTGAGGGAAATAAGGCCTCACCTTTAGAAGGAAGGAGTACCAAAGAACTTTATGGACATTTAAAAACTGCCCCAAAATATGAAAAGGGTTAGAGAAAAAGTGAAAGATATAAGTAGAAGATAGGCAAAGACAAGCTAATAATTGTAAAACAGGATTCCCCAAAACAGAAACCTAAAGCAAATACTATAATAAAATATTTAATTCATGAAAATATTAATGAAATAAAGTAAGATTTAAGTCTACACACGAAAGGGCACATTGCATACCTAGGAAAATCAATTTGGAATGGATTACACCAAGACATATTCCAATAAAACCAATGAACTTTAAAGAGAAAGAAAGCTACAAATATCAAGTCATTTATGAAAGAAAGTAATCAGATTGTACTCAGACTTTCAACAATAGTTTATTATTTATTTCCAGAGTGTAATAACATATTTGAAATATTCAGTAAGAAAAATGAGCTAAGGATTTTATGGATTCTGTTAACTAAACTTAATCTCTGCAGACATACTTTCATGATCATTAAAGTTTAGGACTATTTTTTCTAGATCTGAGAAATATGACATTGGTATTTTGGTGGAATTGCATTGAATCTGTAAATCACTTTGGGCATTATGGACATTTTAATGATGTTGATTCTATCAATCCATGAACATGGGATGTTTTCCCATTTGTTTATGTCATCTATGATTTCTTTTATCAGTGTTTTGTAGTTCTCCTTGGAGATATCTTTCACCTCTTTGGTTAACTATATTCTTAGGTATTTTATTTTCTTTGCAGCTACTGTAAATGGCATTAAGTCCTTGATTTGACTCTCAGCTTGACTGTTATTAGTATATAGAAATGCTACTGACATGTGTACATTGATTTTGTAACCTGAGACTTTGCTGAATTTTTTTTTTTTTTTTTTATCAATTCTAGGAGTCTTTTGGTAGAGTCCTAGGGTTTTCTAGATACAAGATCATATTGTAGCTGAACAGGGATAATTTTGGCCTCCTCTCTCCTGATTTTGATGCCTTTTATTTCTTTCTCTTGCCTGACTGCTCTAGCTAGGACTTGCAATACTGTGTTGAATAGACGTGGTGACAGTGTCTTATTGCAGTTTTTAGGGGGAATAAGCCACAGAGTAAATAGACAACCTACAGAATGGGAGAAAATATTCACAAACTATACATCCAACAAAGGTTTAATATCCAGAATCTACAAAGAACTCAAATCAGGAAGAAAAATACAAACAACCCCAAATGTTCAACATCACTGTTCATTAGGGAAATGCAAATTAAAACCACCTTACCCCCATCAGAATTGCATTATTAAAAAGTCAGGAAATAACTGATGCTGGCGTGGATACA